TGATGCTCCTGATGCTCGCCTGCCGGAGCTAATTGGGATCCCTGGATGCTCATGGTGCGCTTAGCTTCGTTGCGACGCTCAGCTTCTTGTGTGTGCGGTCTTGAGTCGCGCTGACAATGGTTCTTTGCCGTGCCGCGCTTTTCGGTTCCAGTGGGCGTGCTGGCCGGTGCATCTCGGCATGCGCAGCTGCTCCTCCGAGTCTCACTGACCAACGACCTCGTCCCGCCCGGCTGCAAAAGCAAATCCTCGTCGCGCCTGCACTTCGAGCTACACCCTCCAACCTAGAGCTTTCGTCACCTCCCCGCGGGTCTCAGTTTCGGCCAAAAGCTTTGTCTGTGCAGCCGGGATCTTCCTGCGATGCATTGAGGATAATCACACACACCTGTGTATATATATATATACACATGGTATATATATATGTTTATTTATTTATTTACCTATTTATTTATTGCTTTGAAGACCAACTGTCAGCAGCTCAGGTGGGGAGGTTCTTGTTTTCAGCACCTGCTTCTGAGATTCAAACTGGCAGGTTTGGCTTGTGCGCAGCCGTCACAACAATCGAGCTTTTGCAGCCAAGCCTGGGGCTTGGAGTTTCTGCTGTTTACTTGGCCCATGCTCCGCTCTGCCAAGGACATATCGGCTAGCTGGCATCTCGGAGCTCAAGTGCCGGAGTCCCAGTCCATCCCCTGCCTTTGGATTGGGCTGAAGCTGTGAAGCAAGGCAAGGAGATCGAGACTGAAGTTGAGATTCTTCTTACCGTCGACCATCCAAACCTGGCGCGCATGGTGGATGCTTACGAGACGAAGGATCGGATCTGCTCTACCTCTGTGGACTCGAAGATGCCAACTCTTGCTTCCGCAGGCCTCACTCACGCTCGTCATGGAGCTCCTGGAAGGAGGACGAAAGCAGTCGTAGAAGCTGGCAGAGCTTTCCAGACGTTGCGGTAGGTGCATGGCATCCGCACACATCTCAGATCCGCGACCACAGGAGAACTCTTCGACCGTATACTCGCCGCAGGCACGAACTGACTCGCAGAATGAGGGCTTGACTTCTTCAGGTAACCGGCCTGTTCGATGGGGTGTTGGGAGGCCATTTCACCGAGCGCAATGCTGCAGAAGCAATTTGGCAAATGCTGCTTGCCATCAGCCTCCTGGCAGTGGAAGTTGCACCCTTCGCCTTAGATTCAGATGCTCTGTTGCAGGGCACTGGACAAGAACTATCGAGCGAACAGTCTTGTCAGTAGAGTAGTTCGCGTTGTCGTCAGAGGCCTCCACAGTAGCGCACGCAATTCAGCAAGCGTGGTCCCAATTTGCTGTGTTCTTGCAGTCTTTGTGTCTTTGCGGGCGGCTCGATATTCTTAAGCTGTTTCCTGATCCGTTCCTTATGACTGGACAAGGATATCTGCATGGCCCGGAGCCCAGTCGGGTGCAGCACCATATTTCAGGATCTGTGCAAAACGTCAAGGTTCGTCGCAGATCGGCAACAGTCTAGGGTCGTTTCTGCCAGGGAGCTGTCTTGGTTGCTCGTCCGACGACAGATGTTTGTTCGGAGCCCTTGTTTAGAAGAGAAGAGGTCTTGGCATCGTGCACCGGGATGTCAAGTTGGAGAACTGGCTGTACGAGAAGAAAGGTGGTATCTTGGCTCCATCTCAGCGTGGAAGACCCACTCTATAAGTTCGCTGAAGTCCTACCAACAACGCAGTGGCAGAAAACTATCCTGAAAGCACTGAGTCGAAGATTGCAGCACCACGGGCGCACATGCAGTCTTCACTGGCAGGTTGACAAGACGAGATTTATATCTGTCGATGGACTAGTCGTACTAGCAGATGCACATGAGCAGGCAAACAAGTCGCTGTTTGCTTTCCTTTCGGACTTTGATTCAGGCCAAGACTTGAAGCTCATTGACTTTGGCCTCTCAAAATTTTGGCGGCCGGACAAGAGCATGGAAATGCGTGCCACTCTGCCGATACTGGCGGCTCGCGGGTTTAAGTTCGCACTCATCAACGTGGCTGGAGCTGCCTCTGTTCGGAGTCTTGTGCATTGCCAACTTCTGCAGGTTAGCTAAGCTCATCAGTCTCTGTTCCATGAGATGCTGGAGGGTCTAAGTTCCGCGGCCAAGGTTGGCACGCTTGACTACATGGCGCCCGAGGCCTTGCGCTGGGCTTCTTTTCGGCTCTTGGTGCAAGCTGTGGGAGCTTTCGACCTGGGTGTGCCGGGGTGACATGACCTCCTAACTTCAGAACCCGATATTATAACATAATATAATATAATATAATATAATAGAATATAACATGATATAATATAATATAATATAATATAATATAATATAATATAATACTGCGGTAGGACGAAAGTTCGTCGCACTCTGTATGTCGCTCCTGTGAACAGGGACGAACCCCTTTTCCCCCGTAGACTCCTGCACCAAGTCCTCCGTCTGGAACATTATAGTAGTATAATTTTATTCCAGGGGATTAATTCCTCCGCTAGCCAGGCCA